GTGGCGTTTTCTCCGGGCCCGATCGGGTGCGCGATAGTGCCTTAATGCTCGCAGGAAGGGCGATGGGCTCGAGAGAGCAGTCGAAAATCCCGAGACGAATTTCGAGAAGGAAGTTTTAAACAGCTTGCTTCTCACAATTAGATTAAGCATGACCAAATGCAATGTCGTTGAGTGCGTCATACGCGTCTTATCTATCTGACATGGTCCGGCATGTCGGCTGGACTTGGCGAATTCGGTGAACCCAGCATACGCGGATTTAGACGAATGAGCGAACGAAGTTAGGCCGGAAGAGGTTCCTGAACCAATATCTGGTGTCCGCCAAGCGCTTCCGACAATCCGCGGAATCCCTGATTCGTAAAATGACAGCCTCCATGGAGACGGGATCGAAGGATCGATTGATCCTGTGGACGAGCGCGAGGTCTACTGGAAATCGTGGGGCTCGACAGGAATCGAAGGACTGCTTTTCCAACTTCCGTTGACAGACTTTTACTTCTCGACCGAACAGTGAGCGAGACGGGTGCAGGGTTTCTAATTTGGAAATCTCATGACAGATGATAATAGCACCATTCCCTGATCCCCCATGAGAATCTTCCTCAATCAGCAGGATGATTCGTTTCGTTGCGCGTGGAGGTTCTCCTCTACAAAGCAAAGATCAAAATCGAGTCGATATGAGTCCACATTCACGGTTGAAGGTCACTTACTCCCGTTCATCCCCACTCTCTGCACTCGATAATCAAGTACAATATGTGTGTGTATATAACAATGAGACATGGCAACAACCAGCCTTAGATCTCTCTCGGTTTTACGTGAGAGATCGATTTCGTCGCTAGAACATCTTGAAGAATTAGTTGCGTGTCATTCCCCCACGCTAGGTGCTTCCAAGCTGAGATTCCGTTCCTTGGAGGAATGATCCGTCCCTTGAACAAGTGCAGCTCCATCTCAGCCGAGGTCAGTCGAGATTCGGATCATGCAGATGCATAGTCGAGAATGGGCTCGTTCCGGGAAGGAACGTATCGAGGACGCGGCGGAAGAGTCCCAGGCTCCGACAACAACAAGCGACGTGGTCTTCCGCTGCATGTGCCTCTGTTCCGCCATGCAAACGGGATTCGCGCAGAGGATTTGGTTAGACCGGGTCCTACTGACGGTCTGGTCACTACTACTTGGCTACGCCGTGTACGTCATACCGGTCCACATCCGCGGTAAAATTGCGGAGCAGCAAGGGAAGAGCAGTCTCTCCGAGCTTGTCATCCTGAGCTACTCTATCCTACTCTCTACCGCAACGTTCTACGCGGTGTTCAAAGTGAGATTCCACAGAGACGCATGTGAACAGTTGCTACAGAAAAACGGCCGATCCCTGAGAGATATCGGCTATGACATCGCGAGCACCTCACTCGCTATCGCATGGTTCCTGTGTTGTACCAAATGGTCACAGAAAGTTGCGATTGAGATGGTTTGTTTCTATTTCTTTCTCAACGTCGCTCACTCTGCTATCTTTCTGATCTATTCGGATATCGTAGCTCGCTTAATCAAAGATCAGCGATACATATTCGGGGCGCTCGAAGGAATTGAGGTCAACTTCGATTCCTTGATCTTCAGAAAATGGCAAATGCGGAAACGGATTTCTGATGCCAACCTTATATTCTCTGATGTTTTGGTAATGACATACGCCCTGACTTTCCTCGCGGTCATTTATTGTTTGAATCTATTGACAAGGCGAGATGCCGGATGGCTAGAGACGTTCTTCGGCCTTGCGATGCTCTGTGCGAAGCCTACTCGGCAATTTCTCCTCGCGAGGCTCTGCTCCGCCCTTAGATCGTGGTGCGTACGGACCGATCAGAAGCTTCTGATGCGAGTCCGGGACCGAAAAGTGTGTCGAGACTGTCACTCTGATATTTCCGCGATCCTCCGAATCGGCGAGGAATGGGATTCATTGAAATTAGGCTACTTTCCCCACAGCGCTGAAAACTTTCTCACATTACTAGCGACGGGGCTTACATGTGCCGCTATCGTATTACAGTTCGATTACAAAATCCTCCGCGGATTGACGGCTCTGAGCGAGGGTAGAGCATAGATTCCCGTTCGTTGCCCCGATTCGATTCGACATCCGACATGGGTTTTCGTAATCTCTCGGCCAAGTTCTCGAGATCAGGCTATCTTCTCATTGAGAGGTAGGGGCAAGGCAGAGGTCAGCGCGGGCCTTTGAGGAGCGGACATTCTCATCGCAGCTTGATAAGAGCTTTCCATAGCCTCTTTTCGTCCTCTCCTCTGTACGTACGTATCTACTCTCTGGAATGGCGGGCTACAGTACTCCCCCCCAGTGGGGGACGACTTTTGGGAGGCCGACCACGTCGTCTTGGCATATCTACCGAAAAGCTTCGGGGATCGATCTTGGCTGGTTTAACGCGCTGTATAGACACTCTCGTAGGTCCGTTCTGGGTATCGATTTTGACTGTACATTTATCACGATCAATGACTTTGTATGGACCGGTATAGGGTCGTTGTAAAGGTTTCCTAGTAGAGTCTGTGCGTAAGAAAACATGATCACAGGAAGAGAGATCTTTCGGAGCAAAATGTTGGGCTTTAGAGACTGGCCTCGACGTTGTACCTCTTATCTTGCACATCATGTCCTTAAGGACACTGACAAAATCAGTTGGATCGACAATGACCCCGCTTGCTTCCTCCTTGAGGTCAGGAGGGAGTGTGATGCTCTGGCCATAAACAAGTTCTGCCGGCGATGCGTGGGTGTCTTCCTTTTCCGTTGATCTGAACCAGAGGAGTACAAGCGGTATATAGTCGCACCAGTTCGTCTCTGCAAAGTGACAGCGTAATGCGTCCTTCAGTTGTCGATGAAATCTCTCGACGGACCCGTTCGCCCGGGGGTTGTACGCTGAAGTCCAGATTCGATTACAGCCTAGAAGATCGGCGAGGTTCTTGAAAAGGCGACTCTCGAATTGTCTTCCTTGGTCTGTGGTGATCGTATCCGGAACTCCGAAACGAGAGATCCATGAGGAGATGAAAGCAGTTGCAACCGTGGTGGTTTCAATATTGGGTAGTGGACATGCTTCTGGCCAACGGGTAAATCTGTCGACCATCCTGAGGATGTACCTGTTCCCGTTTGAGGTAGAGAGGGGACCTACGAGGTCAATGTGCACGTGAGAGAATCGGGTTTTCGGCATTGGAATGATCTGGGGGGCGGTTTTTGTATGTCTGGTGATCTTTGAAGCCTGGCACGCAATACATGTATCACACCAGGAGTTGATGTCCGAAACGATCGTTGGCCAGAAGTAGAGCTTCCCGAGAAGTTTCTTCATTGGACTGTTAGGTGTCTGAACCCAACGGAATCGATAGTGAGAACTAATAGTCAGCGCGATAGCGCGCTTCAATATCCGACTAATGCTATGTCCATCCAATGCGACACTCTACAATAAATGTCATGTCAGTACGTCCACGACTCGCTGGTGACTGGTCGAGAATCCGCGGCGTATTCTTTCAATTGATAGGTTAGGCCAAGAACCTAACAAAGTGGCGACGAGGATTTCGAAACCCACTGCGGACGACCACAGAGTACCTGGAGAGCAGATCCTGCTGCCCAGCACAAAGCGAGGAAACAAGAAAATGCCCAACAACGGAAGCTCGGAGCCCAACGCGGCCGATGCAACCATGCCTCAGCGCCTGCCCATGTTCGAGAAGTTCGACCCAGAAGCTCAAAAATGGACAGCTTGGACGAAAAGACTCGAAAACTACTTCGAAATGCAGAAAGTGACGGAAAACAGGGTCAAGAGGAACGCGATTCTTTCGTTTTGCGGTGGCGCGGCCTACACGCTGCTCGAGGAGAAGATCTGTCCGGATAAATCGCCGAATGATCTCTCATATGAGGAAATAGTGAAGACGCTGAAGACAGCATACGAGACCCGCTCAGAATGTCTGGACGGCTCGGTTCAAGTTTCGTGAAATCGTGCAGCAGACTGCTGATTCATTGAATGACTTCGAGCGTAGGCTTCGACGCGCCGCAACTGACTGTGAGTGGACCGCAGAGACGCTGCAGCTTAACCTCATCGAACAGTTTCTAAATGGCATGAGTGACAAGAAACTGCGCGAGGCTGTTCTAGTGAAATGTGCAACCCTCCGGAATTTGACTGAGGTCGCAGTTGAAGCCCAAATCTTATATTCGATTCGTCAAGAGCCGATATCATCGTCGAATATTCATAAAGTGAGCAACCAATCCGTGAGAAGTTTTCAAAGACGGAAACCCTTTCATGGGAACCTGAATGGAAAACAGCACTTCAGAGCTCCGGAAGCCAAGAAGCCAACGTGCTACAGGTGTGGGAACTCATCCCATCTCGCTCCCGAGTGCCATCATAGGAACTCGCGGTGCTCGCTCTGCAACAAGATAGGCCATTTGCGAGTCGCCTGTAGGGGCACGCCGAAGAAAATCAATTTCTTAAGAGAGGAAACGTTCCATGCGATCGACTCTCGTTCGGGTAGAGCGCCAGTGAACATCACGTTGCAGATCGAGGGATACCCGGTTACCATGGAAGTCGACACCGGCACCGCTCTGTCTACGATATCGCTGAATAATTTCAACAAACTCTTCAAGAACAGTCGACTTCTCCCGAACGATGTCCGCCTCCGACCTGCTGACGGTGATTCTATCGAGCCCATCGGTTACGCAGAGCTCGATGTGAAGTACCAGAACGTAGGGAAGAAGCTTCGTCTCTATGTAATAGATCGTCAGCATTTTCCGTCGCTCGTTGGACGCGAATGGCTGGCAGCTCTTCCTGTGCGGTGGCACGAGCTATTCAACTCGAATGGGTGGAATCTCAGCGGCTCAGAGAGTTCGGGTTCGCCTTCGCACCATATGGCAAGTAAGAAAGTGCATCATATCAAGGAACAGAATATGGAGAATGCAGCGAAAAATTTGCTGCAGAAGTACAAGAATCTAACGAAGCCGGGCCTCGGATGCATACCGAGCACCGAGGCGAAACTTGAATTAATGTCAGATAACCCGAAGCCGATCTTCGTACGTGCACGCCCAATCGCTCACGCAATTACCGATATGACCGAGAAAGAGCTCGAGTTCCTGGAAGAGAATGGAGTCATCGAGAAGCTAAATGCAAGCGAGTGGGCGCATCCGCTTGTCGTCGTACCTCGCGCGAAAGGAAAGAAAGTCCGATTGTGTGGGGATTTCAAGAGCGGCATTAATCGTTTCATCAAGACCGACGAACATCCTCTCAAGAATATCCGTCATGCCTTGGATAACATCGGTAACGGAGTGAAGTTTTCGAAGCTCGACATCCTGTCCGCCTTCCTCCACATGCCAGTAAGAGAATCGGATCGCAAGTATCTCGTAGTGAATACTCATCGAGGACTATATCAATTTAACCGAATGTCCAATGGACTCTGTAGCGCGCCGGCCATCTGGCAAAGGTTCATCGAAGGGGTACTCGCAGGCATAAATGGAGTTGAGTGCGTGATGGACGACATCATCGTCACAGGCAAGACAGATCAGGAGCATCTCGAACGTTTGGAAGAGGTTCTTTCTCGACTGAACGATCAGGACATACGTCTGAACGTCGAGAAATGCCAGTTCTTCCAGGAATCGGTAACCTATTGTGGGTTCGTCCTGAAGCATCAGCAAATCCACAAATGCGATGACAAAGTTCAAGCAATAAAAGAAGCCCCTTCGCCGAAAACAGTCGGTGAGTTGAAGGCCTTCCTGGGACTTATTCAGTTCTACGCCGGTTTCGCACCTCGACTTGCAGACTTGGCAAACCCCATGTATCGACTGCTGAAAGCCGATGCCAGCTTCATTTGGTCGAAGGAAATGTCCGAGTCCTTCGCAGCCGTGAAGCGAGAGTTATGTTCGGACAGGGTTATCGTTCCTTTCGATCCGAAGAAGCCCGTGCTCCTGGCAACGGACGCATCTCCGACTGGGATATCAGCTGTTTTGTCGCATCGATTCCCTGACGGGTCGGAACGGCCCATTGCATACTACTCAAGAGCATTGACCGACACGGAAAGGAAGTACTCCCAAATCGACAAGGAAGCATTGGGAATCAGAACGGGAGTCGAGAAATTCTTCTACTATGTCTTCGGTCGAAAATTCACTCTCATATCCGACTCTCGACCTCTGGTGCAGATTTTCTCACCCCAAAGATCGCTTCCACCGCTTTCGGCAACTCGGATGCAGCATTATGCGATCTACTTGATGGGCTTTACGTTCGACATAATCTACCGCCGCACCGACAAGCATCAAAATGCTGATGCATTATCAAGACTACCGGCGAACAGCAAAGACTTTCACACAGAGGACGGCATCGAAAGTTTTCTAGTGAATCAACTTCAAGAGGTTCCCTTGAATTTCAAGGCGATTGCAAAGGAGAGCGGAAGATGCAAAGAACTTCGTCCGCTCTTCAGTGATCTAAGGCGGCAGGTGAATAGTTACATGTCGCCCCGATATTTTGGAATCGACTCTTGCGAGTTTTCGCTATATGAGGACGCAATCATCCTCCGAGGTCATCGGGTGGTAGTCCCGAAAACTTGCCGAAAAAACATCCTCGTTGAGCTACACGAAGGACACTACGGCGAACGTAAGATGAAGGAGCTCGCACGACGATATGTTTGGTGGCCGGACATCGATAAAGATATCAAGAACGTCGTTCTGTCTTGTAATGCATGCCTTGAACACGCTAGGAATCCACCTAAGGAGATTTTACATGCATGGCACCCATGCCAAACCCCTTTCGAGCGCATACATTTGGATTACGCGGGACCAATCGACGGAAAATACGTCCTGCTCATCGTAGACGCTTACAGCAAGTGGCTCGAAGCGTTCATTACGCAAGGGAAAACGAGTAAAGAAACGTTGAGGCACATTCGCGAGACGGTTTCCCGGTTCGGCTTACCTAAAGTAATGGTAACCGACAACGACCCAACATTTGCCTCCGATCTCATGAGGAACTTCTGTGAAAATAACGGAATTCGACTCATGCATTCACCTGCTTATCATCCTGCTTCGAATGGACAAGCAGAACGATTCGTCGCAACCTTAAAAAACGCCTTGAAGAAACTCTCGACGGAGGGAGGAGATATCCATACTAATTTGTGTCGGTTTTTGTTTCGACAAAGGATGGTGTCCAGCTCCACCGGAGAGAGCCCTTCATCGCGCATGATCGGAAGGGAGTTGCGCTCCAGATTGGACTTGTTACAGGAGGTTCCCCGAATTTCCGACAGGGCCGACGAGAAGGCGAAGTTCAGGGTTGGTGATCCGGTCATCGTCCGCGACTATAGATCTCGGAAGCCGAAATGGATCGCGGGCAAGGTCGTGAAGAATCATGGGACAAGGATATGTCGGGTGAGGGTTCCCCATGGTATATGGAATCGTCATTTTGAGCAGATCCGCCCCAGATCCGATCATGACCAACCGGTAACTGCAGAGCAAAGCTCAATTCTCGCCGCAGTGCTTTCAGTTCCCGAACAGCAGGATAGTCAACGACCGAGTTCGACAGCTCCACTAGGAGAGCAACCAGAACGATCTAAATCGATTGGGACCAGCGAAGGAAGCCCGACTATTCGAGAGCACTGCGTCACAGATGGTCCAACAACCGACTCCGATACTTCAGACGATTATACCGATGCCGAGAATATTGCCGTTTCCCCTGATAAAGTACCCACTGCGCCAGTGGAAGTGCGTAGATCCCAGCGGAGCACCAGAGGCGCTCCGCCGGCTAGATTTCAACATTGAAATGACGTCGATGTCCCGTATTGTGTGTATAATGGAAAACCTATAGGGAGGGAGAGTTGTTAGGTGTCTGAACCCAACGGAATCGATAGTGAGAACTAATAGTCAGCGCGATAGCGCGCTTCAATATCCGACTAATGCTATGTCCATCCAATGCGACACTCTACAATAAATGTCATGTCAGTACGTCCACGACTCGCTGGTGACTGGTCGAGAATCCGCGGCGTATTCTTTCAATTGATAGGTTAG